GGGGGGAACGGCCCGTCCGGTCCGTCCCGTCCGGTCCGTGCCGTCCCGCAGCACTCACAGGGCCGCTGGACGAGCCGGCCGGGGCAGGACTGGCAGGGCAGGCAGGAGAACTCGCTGCACCCCCCGTCCAGGCAGTGGCGAAAGCGACCGGGCTCGCAGCCACAGGCGACGTTGCTGGTGGCCGAGCAGTTGCTCAGCACGGTCTGGAAAGCTGCGGGAGAGAGAAGGTGAGAGGCACGGCACGGTACGGTGCGGTACGGCACGGCATCGTTAAACACGGTGCGGTGTGGCACGGCACGGTGTGGTACGGCACGGTGCGGTACTGTACAGCACGGCACCGTGAGGCACGGCACGGCACCGTTAAACACGGCACGGTGTGGCACGGCAATTCCTTCCAGCGCCGCACCGGCACCGCATCGATGACGGCGTAAAGCTGGCTGCCTTGTAGCAGCCCCCCGTGGGGTTCCGGGGGGGCGGAGGGCTTCCCCTCCTCACCCGTCCGGGCCACGCCACCGGGTTCCCCCCGCAACAAGGCTTGATGCTCGGGGCTCCGCCTCGCCGTACCGGCGGGACGCTCCGTCAACCGGGGGGAGCACAGGCGACGTTGCTGGTGGCCGAGCAGTTGCTCAGCACGGTCTGGAAAGCTGCGGGAGAGAGAAGGTGAGAGGCACGGCACGGTACGGTGCGGTACGGCACGGCATCGTTAAACACGGTGCGGTGTGGCACGGCACGGTGTGGTACGGCACGGTGCGGTACTGTACAGCACGGCACCGTGAGGCACGGCACGGCACCGTTAAACACGGCACGGTGTGGCACGGCACGGTGTGGCACGGCACCGTTAAACACGGCACGGTGCGGCACGGCACGGTGCGGCACCGTTAAACACGGCATGGTGCTGTACGGTACGGTGCGATACGGTGCGGTGCGGTACGGCACGTCACCGTTAAACACGGCACGGTGTGGCACGGTACGGTGCGGTACGGCGCGGTGCGGTACGGCACGGCACCGTTAAACACGGCATGGTGTGGCACGACACAGCACCGTGAGGCACGTCACGGCACGGCACCGTTAAACACGGCACGGTGCGGCACGGCACGGCACCGTGAGGCATGGCACGGTGTGGCAAGGTACCGTGCAATATGGCACTACCCGGCGAAGCACGGTACCGTGAGGCACGGCACCGTTAAATATGGCACGGCACGGTGCGATATGGCCCGGTAGGGCCCGGTGGCAGCTCACCGTGTCGGTCGCACTCGTAGCAGGCCTGGCACTCGGTGAAGGTGTTGGGCTGAGCGTGGAAGGTGCCGGCGGGACACGGGGAGCAGCCGGTGTCGTTGACTTGTTCGGAGCAGGGGCCGCTCCGGAACGTCCCTGGAGGGGGGGGGGACACCGGGGTGACGGGGGGGCACGGGCACCCGGTGTGCCGTGCCGTGCCCTGGCCGGGCGGCTCTCACCTGGGGGGCAGTGGGCACAGCACAGGCGAACTTCCTCGATCCAATTCGTGCCGGTGGGGCAGG